GTGTTTAGTGTTTCAATTGTCCAACAAAATAAGCAAAAGGTGTGTGTAAAAATGCCTGATTTTAACTTTGTATATCAATAGAATATTGAGTATTTCCTTCCCATCCAGAATGTTTGAATTCAATTATTGGTTTGGATGATTTTTACCCCTTGTCATTATCTAATCTGGTAAAATCATACAAAAACTAGATGACACCCATGATCCCATGGGAGTGACCCTTCTGTGACTCTAGGGGAACAGTAGATGAAGCCAGCTGGCGTCTAGTCTAACACACTTGCATGATATAAAACAAAAAACACTGTACATACCTCAGACTGGAGCCAGTCCAAAGAAGTGAAAGGAGTCAAGAATTAGATTTGGCACGGCTCTCTGCCAGGCAGCCCATATAGGGCAGTTATAATTAATGCTGGTGCAAACTCCCTATAGCCTGGACCCTCGATGATGGTAAAATGAGGGGAAATCATGTTGAAGGGGCTATATAAAGCTCCTCGGTGTCAAGGCACATGTACCTCTGTGTCCACCACATTTCCCCCAGAAAAGTACCCATTTAGTTCCTGTAACAGCATCACTCAATCAAATGTTCTCATTGTAGGTCTATACGTTCACATGTGCTGGGCATACAGTATATGGGTCACTATATATCACACATTATGAAAGTCAAATAAATAACTTTTATAGGTCACTGCACGGTCTGGCAATAAACAACTCTGACATGTTACGAATATTACCACGGTAATTAGTGAGAGAAAGTCATGATTCAAATGAATAACTGACAGAATTAATGGAATCCAGAGTTGCTTGTTTCTGCACTTAATAAGGTGAGTTTTTATAAAGAAAGACGACTGTGTGTATTTCAGAGAAAAAGTACGAAAAAAAGTAAGAGTTTAAAGACAGACTCAAAATTAAATCAAATTAAAGTGCCGTTCAGCTGACAAAAAATCACCTTTTGGAGGTCCTCAAGTGTGATGGAGTTTTATTCAAAGACTGAGATATGTTTCGTCTCCATTGCCCAAGTTGAAGTGACAAAATAGTCTTTTCTTGCCACCTACGCTTGTCATTTTGAGTAATAAGCAAAGAGCCTGCTTGTGTTGCTCTCTTGTTGTCCTAAGTACACTTCACAATAGTGCAAATGTGCACAGCACCACCAACAAGTCATTTTGATGCAAAATTTTAGCTCCGATGAAAAGATGAATCTGAATTCACTCTGCTGCTATGTCCTCATTGTGTATGCTGGTTCACTGGTACACCTGAATAGTAACTCTATCAGTGATTGGTGTTAAATGAAGCACCAGTATTGTTCCTGTATTGACAAACATGCTTTAAAAAGGTCTAATGCCCAAGCCTTCCCAAAACTGGTGTTGACTGTCATTGTCTCATTCTGCTGATGAAAAGTAATAAATGACAGCACTTAAATCAAAGAATGAGCGCCAACAACTCGTTCATAAGAGAAGCATTGTTGAGTGAATGTCTGCCATCGAACAAGCACAAACCCCAAGCTTGGCTATTTCAGAAAATGATGCCAACTGTTAAAGGCCCAGCACACCTACACTCTTTAAACTACAGTCATGTCCACTACAGTCATGTCCACACATTAACAGATCTTTTTAAAGATTGATTTTTTTCACAAAAAAGGCAGACTGTCATGCAGCCACAGGTGGAGAGAGGAGAGAAGGGAGAGGAGCGGGAGGAGGCAGGTGTCTGTTTGTGACAGAATGAGTGCGGCAAGAGAGAAGCTGTAATGATCACAGGTGTGCACAAGTGCTAGTGAGCTAATGACTGCTAGACTATAAAATATAATAAAATACAAGCAAAAGTAGTAGTACTCATGGCTTTTTAAAAAAATCTTTAGCATCCAGTTGGATCCACTTAGTGGTAAACAAAAAAAGAAGGCTTCACAGTTTTTTCACCCATTGCGTTTTCTAAGAATAAATAGTTTTTAAGTTTTAGAGAGGTTTTAAGTTGCATTAATACGTGTGATGCAGATGTCAAATCATGAGTAATCATTTTTAATAATCATTAAATAAATATCATTTGTGATTATGATTTCACAATACTTGAGTACTCCTATCATATGTGTTGCTATCAAGCTACAGATTGTTTTGTTTTTGTTTTGTTTCTAAACATATTGTCCTCTTTACCCTTGAAAACAGCATCCTCTCCACCACAAATTGGCCCTCTCCTCCTTGACAAGACCACCACTGGGAACTCAAACCTGAGAAAGAGGCAGAGCGCAGCCTTAAATATGGTGTGGCATTATATGCTTAATCTTCTTTTTGTTACAGAAGATGCCTCGAGTCTATCCTGATTCATGATTCAACATGAATGGACAACCTGAGGGGACAAGGGGGGGGCGCTCTCATTTCCTTGCTCTCGACCCTTGGTAATTACCTGTATGTGCCTAAAGGCTCTCTATATGTTTAAAAGGAAGACAAAAAGAAAGGTAATGAGAGATGGAGAAGTTATGTACTGTAAAAATAGAGGAATACAGTAACAGTGCATTTTTACAACTGTTCAGAGGCGCAAGCCAGGGAATATTGGCCACATTTACTTTCATTGTTTTGCATCGTCCTCTTTTCCCAGTCTGTTTGGTATGGGTTTTCTACCAATTTTGGATTTGATGAATAGTGTCTAAACTTAAAAAAAAAAAGAATAAATACCCTCCACATAGTTCCAGTGTTATTAGCCAAGGTTTGAAGCAGCTGGTTTTAAGTCCAATTCAATAAAGCCCTGATATGATTATTGTTAATTTTTATTTTGTGGTGCTTATAGATGAAAATTACATTTGAAGAATTGGTTAACATATCTTTAAAAAACTCACAATTGCAGGTTTGGCAAATTGCCCTTCCTCTGCAAAAACAAGTTCTGAATAAAAGTGTTCACTTTGAGGCAATTTTAGGTTTTCAGTGACATAAACAATGCCAAGGAGCTCAGTTGTAATGGGATATGTAACAGCCAAAAAGCCTCAAATTTCACAAATTGCAAGGTAACTGAAAAGAACAATAAGAGTCAGCAAAACTGGGACTGTCCCAGCAGTGAAGTCATGAGAACAGACACAAACCAGTCCCTCTAGTCTCCCAGGGGTGGACTGCAATCTGTCAGCACCCTTCACTAATGCAGTTTGCCATTGAAGTTAATAGGGAAGAATACATCTTCTCCAGTCCCCCCCACACACCTATCCACCACATCAATCCTCTGTCTCCAGCCTACCTTGACTCTGCCAGGACGCAAAGATCCTCTCAAGGCTGGCATCACTCTGTCCCAGGGCACAGTCCTCCAACCAGGACAATGTCTCCTGTGTAGGACAGAATGACAGTTTTCGTCACCACCACAGACTCAATGTGTACCCTTCTGCTCAGAGGAAGAAAGGTGGTTTTAGTGTGGACCACAGCAACCCTTTGAAAGAAAACTAGGGGGAAAATGCAGAACATGCATGATTCAATTTTATGCATTGAAAACCTTCATTTCTGTTTGATACTAGACTGCACTGTGTGTGGCCTCTTCTGTGTGTCATTAGACTATTCAAATCCTGGTGACTTTTTTCAAAACTCCATAAAGGTGCTAATCTCTAACTTTGCATTGGTCTGACTCAAACACAATAACCCTGTTTTCTCATTAAAAGTTCTCCAGAAAACCTTTTATTTTCAGTCTTCCTCTGTGCTGTGACATAATAGATCAAAAACCTGCTGAAACGGACTGAACTAACATACAAACAGATGAAACTGCAGGAAGGCAGTGAATCACACAAGTGAATGGGATGGTTACATAATACAACAAAGCATTTCACTAAACACCGTTCATGACAACGACACAATTAAAAATGTTAAATAAAGTAAGAATTTAACCTGATAATCGGATTAAATATACATATAGGGAAGAGTGGGTTAAGATGAGCCATTTTTCATATTTCGGATCACTACATCAAGGCAATCATAGTTTTGTCTCGAACTAGTGTATCTGCATATATTTCAAGATGTTGTGCATCCCTGCAAACCAACAGAACCCACTCTCCATTCCAGCCCTCCCTCACCTTCTCTCTCCCTAAATAACAGTCACTTCTTCACATTCATGTGTTTTTTATCTATTCAACTGGTACAATAATTCTTTTTATTATTATTGCATATAACTGCAAAAAAGCTGTTCAGTAAGAAGCCATTTAAACACGAGAATGTCTTGAAGTGATTCACAGCCGTATTTTTGAAAAGAAAAAGTAAAAAATTTCAACAATCTGAACTTAAAACTCTGATCCTCTCATCAGACTTCTTTACTTTCTCAGTTGAGCTACCAGCTCAACTTACCCCAGAACTACTATTATGACTTTATTAGTCCTCTAAGCTAAAATGGTGGACTTTTATGCTAGGTTTTTGACCTCATGTTGTAGCTCATAGATACCACAATTGATGCATAAAACAATTTTAAAATGATCGTTTTTGGTCTGAACACAATTCTAATAAAACTTATGACAAACTAAATTCACTTTCAAGAGTGAAAAATGTTTTTATGGAAATAAATATCTAACCCCTTCACCCATGTGTTTCTAATCTTCACAGACTTCATGAATTGATGCCCATCTAGATATTTGGTTACATGATCAATTTCTTTTACCATTTCCAAGCAACAGGGGGTGGCTCAACTCACCCTTTGGCTCAACTTACCCCACTCTCCCCTAGGCCTACATATATGTATAAATTCATTTTTATCGTTTGCTCGGTTGCTAATTTGATGTTGTCGTAGTTTTTCAAACAACTAGCTGATTGTCATTAGCAGTGGTAGCGTTTAGCAAAAGAAAGTGTTTAGATATTAAAACGAATATTTCATCGTTGGAAGGTGGTTTGAGTTGTTAAAGCCCTGTGCAGTTCCAGGGTCCACACTTTTTAGCTAAAGTGCGACATCTTGCGGTACTGCTGCGTCATTACTTTAACATTCGCCATTCAGTCTTTTTCGCCACACTCCAACCAATCAGAGGAGAGATTACTGAGGTATTGCAAAATTGACCAATGAACAGTCAGATATTTTTTACGGCAAAGATGGCGTTCTTTGTATTGTGAAGTCCAGGAGCTATACACAAATACTTTTTTAAATTGAAAACGAAAAAAATGTAGGTGAACCTCAAAATTATTATTTTTTTCATGTATAAGCTATCGCAAACGTACATCTTCGTTACCAGGCTTTTTAAGATCTGTCTTAATTTATTTCGAAATGAATGGCATCGCGAGCTTGCAGCTAGCGTCCAAAAGCTAAATGATATGAGAATAAAGTCAGACTGAATGGTATCCTGAAACAAAAAAAGCCCAAATAGTTGTGTACCGTTTAATAAGCGTACGGGTCGTTTCTTCCAGGATGAAGGTGGTCAATCTGAAGCAAGCCATCCTGCAGGCATGGAAAGAGCGCTGGAGTGATTATCAATGGGCCATCAACATTAAGAAAAACTTCCCAAAAGGAGCAACATGGGACTACCTGAACCTTGCAGGTTAGAGGTGCAGATCCTCTGGCTAAATAGCAGTAGTGATGCTGCTTTATGTTGGATCATGAGTGTAAATTCTGTCTTATATTCCAGAGGCCCTGATGGAGCAGGCGATGATTGGTCCCTCCCCAAACCCTCTTATTCTGTCTTACCTGAAATATGCCATAAGTTCTCAGGTGAGAGTCAAGTCACTAGTTGGTAAATTAATATGACTGTGCAACAAGTTTTCTTTTTGCCAGATGTGAACAGTGCATTTTTTTTCCTCAGATGGTGTCTTATTCTAGTGTCCTGGCAGCTATCAGCAAGGTAACTTCTCCTTGATCATAGTTACGCCCTCATTTGTATGATTTAAAATGAAAGGTTCTCATGGTTATGTCTCTTTTCTGGTAGTTTGATGATTTCTCCAGGGAGCTGTGCGTCAAATCCCTGTTAGAGATCATGGACATGTTTTGCCATCGTCTCAGGTATATGAAATAATCCATGACAGTGTTTTTCCTCTCTTGAAAAAAACTGAATGCAAAGGCTGTTGCTATTTTATAGCCTTACACAGTTGTCATCCTTACTCTGGTAACATATCCTCGTGTTGTTAGACCAACCCATTAATCAGTGAAAATGAATATGAGCTGGCTGATAGGTCTGGCAACACTAGGCTACAAATAACATGTATCATGACCAGAACGCTACCACACAGGCACTGGCTGTTGTCACTTTTGGACAAAGCTGATCAGTGTTACTGATCACTTAATAACAAGAATAGCCTTGTTCTGCCTGTTAATCGTTGAGTGACACATTTACATCTTATTTATCACTTTTGAAGAACGGTCAACAGCAAAGCTGCATATCTCTAACTCTGTAGTGAGCTAAGATCTAGTCAGTTTGATCATTCTATGTTTACCTTTGCCCAAGGGGTTGCGCTATTAACAAAATGTGAGTTTATAAGAAAGGGCCTAACATTTTTCCCATATAAACTTTATCTGCTTCTTCTCTCCTTCCAAAGCTGTCACGGAAAAGCAGAAGAATGCATTGGGCTGTGTCGAGCCCTGCTGGGAGTGGTTGTTTGGCTGTTGCAGGGCTGTGCCTGGTACTGTGAGAAGCTGAGAGAACTTGGTCCGTCAGCCAGCACTGAGGCTAGTTTGAGGGCCTGCCAGGAGAGGCTTCAAAATCTGATGAATAGTAACAAGAACAGAGCGCTGGTCCACATCGCAAGGCTGGAAGAACAAGGTGCTTGTTTGCTAGCATGCTAGAGTGAAAATAATGTCACAAACAATGATTATTGTAAAAGCACTACTCTGGTTTCTTTTCTGTATAATCTAATTTACAATAGCTGGTTCCTGAATTGAAAAAAAAGTTATTCTGCATGATTGTTATTCTGCACATCTTATGGTTTCTCCCTTCCCCTAGGTTCTTGGAGCAATGTAGAGCAGTCAATGCTGAAAGTCACAGAGGGCCTGAGCTGCATATCCAACCAGACACTGAGAACTAATTTAGAGGAGAGCTTGGCTTTAGTAAAAGGGTGAAGATTAACATCTCATTCATCAACATTCAGCACATAGTGCCTTCACTGCAGCCTACATTTAAAGGAGCCTGTTTGAAAGGACATCATAATTCATTTCCTTCCTCTCTATCTACAGTATTCCCTCGATGCTATCAGTGCAGTGCGACCCGCAGCTCCATTCCTCTTTCCCATCCATTCATGCCTTAATTATGCTGGAAGGGACCATGAACCTGACAGGAGAGACACAGCCACTGGTGGAGCAGCTGATGATGATTAAGAGAATGCAGGTGAATATTTAGTTGCAGTTCAATAAAGTGCTTAATCTTCCTAAAAAACTATTTTGAAACTGAGTTTGGAAACTTACATTTAAGAAAAGTGCCCATAAAGTCTTTAAACAATTAAAGTCTGTTGATGGTAAGTAAACTATTCACTATAGGGGTATCATACAGGTGACTAGGAAAAAAAACTACATATATTGGGTGCACTGACTGACTATAAAGCTTTATTTTAGTTGTTTGTATTTAGTTTTTATGCAGGGCTTCGGTTTAATTGTCTGTCCCCAACAGCAAATACCTGCTCCTCTGTTTGTCCTGGAGATTTGGAAAGCCTGCTTCACTGGCCTGATTGAGTCACCAGAGGGCACAGAGGAGCTTAAATGGACTGCCTTCACATTCCTCAAAGTAAGATTTATTTCAAAGATGACGAACGCTCCTCCCTCCTGCTTGTGAGCTCCCTTGGTCTTTGTTTGGCTTAACTGTTTCTTTTCCATAACGTGTTAAATATAGGTAACAGCTGTTGTTGAGCAAAGTTCAAGCTCATTCTCGCTCTTCTTCACAGGTTTATACTGTATTATATGATTGAATTTCTACTCCTTAAGTTTGTTTCTCTTTGCTTTTTCTTAATACATACAGCTGTCAGTGTATTATATGATAGAGTGAGGTTTTAGGATGGTATTACTGCAGCTCAAACATGCTGAATGATTTGCTTTTCTTGCATCTTTTCCCCAGATTCCACAAGTTCTTCTGCGACTAAAAAAGTATCCTCAGGGTGACAAAGGACAGGTGAAACATTTGATCTCATGATCTCTATTTTTACCGAATGGAAATAAATGAAAAAGCATAGATGTTGGTGTTTAAAAGGTCATTCCCTTCACTTTTTTCAAATGTTTTTTTTTTTTCCCCAGGATTTCATGGACGATGTAAACATTGCATTTCAGTACTTACTCAAGCTTACACCACTTCTGGACAAAGCTGATCAGAGATGCAAGTAAGAATCCTATTATCACTCAGACATTCAGCGCAAGAAAAAAAAAAAAGGCAAAATCCCCATCCCAACCAGCCCCATGACTCATGTAATTTCCTTCTGCTTCTTCACAAAGCTGTGACTGTCTTGGCATGCTCCTCCAGGAGTGTAACAAGCTTGGTCTGCTGTCAGATTCAAACACAGCCAGCCTCACTTCAAAACGGTACGGGTTCCAATTTCTCAGTAAACAAACACTGAAGGAGAACGTTTGAGGGAAAGCACTGTCACAAAAATTAAGACCAACCAATCAAACCCAGCTTTTGTTATTTAAATGATTCATCCATGCGTTTTTGTTCACCATATTCACACAATACACTGCATCCCTGCACCCCTTGTCCCCGTTCTTGCTTTCTTTCTCTCTCTCTCTTCTGTCTCCCCCTTTCTTTCCCTCCCCCTCTGCACTTTTGATTCAGGACTGAGGACAGGGAGTTTGCCCCAAGGCAAAAGACAGCTGAAAATGCAAACATCCAGCCAAACCCAGGCCTCATCCTGAGAGCTGAGCCCACTGTCACCAACATTCTTAAGGTAGAGCACCTGATCCAACCTGGACAAAGTATTCATTAACTGTCAGGTTATCTTCGTCTCAAGTAGTGGTCGAAGTAGAGTAGGTGTTGTTACGTCTGGAAAAAATAGAAGAAATCTGTGACCATTTAGTCAGTCATTTAAAAAAATCAACTTTAATTCAAATGAAATGTACTGATGTTTCTGATCTAAGAGGAAACATCTGTTGGCTGTATAGAAAAATAGACAGCACATCTCCACCTCCTCTAGCTGCTCTAAATAAAATCAAAATACCTTCGATGGTGTTGGTGAGGACATTTTCGGAGCCACAGTCAGTCAGAATTCCTGTGAGGAGGTTTTTGATGTTTGTAAGAGTAACTGAATTTCATACTGATGACTTTTTCAGATATACAAAAGCAGAAAAAACAATCAGCAACAAGACAGACATTTTTTATACTGTAGTATTTAATGCATAACAGTGGTGCAAGGGGGTAGGTGTCAGCCAAGCAGCTGAAGAAACAGCTCTGTTTTTACAGTTTCATCTTGAAATATCGACAATAAATGACACATTTGACCATTTAAAGTCGGCAGAATGAGATTTTTGGTCACTACTTGAGCACGTGGAGGGTGAGATAACAAAAGGTTGCTCTGTCTACAGAAAGTGCCAAAATCGACACAGACTGAAAGTTCCTCACAGGATCTTTAAGTAAGGATTGGCTGGTTGAGCCTCAAAATTGGCACCCCTCATGTTGGCCAAAACATGTTTAACTCACTAGTTAAACTGCAAAGATTTCTCAGGTCTGACCAGTCCACTGCAGAACAGCTTCTTTTGTATTTAAATTAGACTCTCAACGTTAAGGAGTATTCTTTCATTTGTCAGGAGTAGGCTTTCTGGCCTATGTGTTCGTTGAGCAGGTGGAGCCTCAAATGTTTTGACTTAACTTATGGAGAGCTGTAATTTTCCTTTTTTTAGTGTGCAGTAATAATAAGAAAATTCTAGAAGTAAAAGAATTGTGATTAAAAACGGTTCGCAATGATGACAGCAAACTTTTTTTAGAAGAAATATACACATGACTCTTTTTATTCTCATTTGATAGACAGTTGATGCAGACCACTCTAAGTCTCCTGAGGGACTTTTGGGAGTCCTGGGTCACATGTTGTCCGGAAAGAGTCTGGATCTGCTTTTGGCAGCAGCAGCAGCCACTGGGAAACTCAAATCCTTTGCCCGGAAGTTTATCAAGTAAGTAAATCACTAAAGTCATCATCCATGATAGGCATATTTGAAAAGGTTGACAGATTAAAGAGCTGTGATTCTCGAGTCGGAAACTCTTTGGCTTTGAAAGAGGTTTTTAACAGGGTTGGGGTTTTTTTCTGTTTCTTTAAGGCTCAATGAGTTCCCAAAGCACATCAGTGGAGAAGGATGTGAGTTCAAATACAAGAGTGACATCTTCCAGTGTGTGAATTTCTTCCTTTCTTGACATTATTTCTTCAACATGATGTTAACATTCAGGATTTTCCTCTCCTCTCTCTTAGCCAAGTCTGCGTCAGTACGGGCCCTGCTGTTTGACATATCTTTCCTTATGCTCTGCCATGTGGTGCAGACATATGGATCTGAGGTTAGTTCATTTTGAGCTGGAGCTGTCAGAAAATCTAATGTCGGTAACTGCAGGGTTACAGGTTCTGTGTGTTTTTCATCAGCCTGCTCTTTCAGTGTTAGGCCACCAGATGTCCAGAGAGGACTGTGCTGTAGTGAGCCTACACTTACTGCAGTATCTCTCTAAAGAGTATTGCACTTGTAACACATGCCTGCTATGTCCTTTCTTCCCAGGTGATCCTGTCAGACCCCAGCCCTTCAGGAGAGACCCCCTTCTTTGAAACATGGCTGCAGACTTGTATGCCTGAGGAGGGTAAGACTCTGAACCCTGACCACCCCTGCTTCAGACCAGAGCCTGGCAAGGTGGAGAGCCTGGTCACCCTGTTGAACAACTCCTCTGAGATGAAACTGGTGTAAGTTTTATGCTTAGAGATTAAGCTGATGAAGACGGCTAGTTGTGTGTGCTTTGAGATTTTATCCTCAATTATGTATAATACTGCACTTAAGAGTTTTTTCATAATTCCAAAATCGATCATTCTTGTTCAGTGTTGAAATGTATTTATAAACATGAACTAGTTTCACTTAACTGTGCTGTAGATGTAAGAATTTATAATTGTCACTCCACCTTTGGCTAAACCTGCATATCCCATCACTCCTCAGCCATCTTGTCCAATAATGAAAGATGTTGAAAACATGAAGCCCTTTCTCAGCTGTACACATCTACTCCTCAAATGAATGCCCACAATATACTACTATTACCCAAGACCTCTTATTTTTGATTCAAGCAAAAAAAAAAAATACATTTGTTGTTCAGTTGTTGTTGTAGCAGCTACAAATTCGGGAAATTCCTGGCACTACATGTACCACACACACTATTCAAATCACTGAATATTTTAAATGTCAGCAGTTTACAGACAGTATTAGTAACGGTTGAAAACAAACAAAACATAGACAGTAACTTTACTGTCTAGTTTATTATAATGGTACAAATAAACTTTGGAAATTGGAAAGTTTAAACAAAACTGGTAATTTAACAACATCAGCGATAGATAGATAGATAGATAGATAGATAGATAGATAGATAGATGGCAAACAAAGATAAAGCAATGTGACACAAAATCAAGCTTACATTAGATACTCTCTGAGCATCGTTTTATCAATCTGTACAATGTTGTTGTTCGTATTTTAAAAGAAGAACTCCACATGTTGCAGTATAACTTTTAAGATTTCATTGTCTAGTTTGTTGTCAGTTACCAGACTACTTTACAATTCATTCATTCCTTTGAATCAAATTTATTTAAATCCTCACTTATTAGTCTTGATGCCCTAATTATGGAATTCCTTTTTTATTTAAGTCAAGTGAAATGGCACGAAATCTGCCTCAGTACCCCAGCGGCCATCTTGGAAGTCCTGAACGCTTGGGAGAACGGAGTTCTTTCCGTGGAGGCAGTACAGGTGAGACAAACCTTTGGGTTCTTAGAAATTTGTGGGGTTATGACCTTTTAGCACAGGAAGGAAATTCAGTTATATTTTTGAGGTAAAACTTTCCCAAATGATTCTCAGGTAAAACCACAAACATCCAAAACATGTCTTAACATGTCTTAAAAGTTGTCGTTTTTTCTTTTTTTTTTCACACTTGTGGCTTAACTTGTTGCCAAACACATCATGACAAACTCTGAGGAAACTGACGTACAAAACTATGTGAAAAACATTAATGCTCAGTGACGTAACAAACTCATGTAGATGTTGCTGACGACTTATTTTCCCTTTTCCAAGCAAGTGCTCTTAGCACGCAAAGTGGAATGATGCTGTTTTAGTCACTCTCCCCTCTCTCTTTGACCTAACAGATAGCCTTACCACATCCTTCCTTCCTTCCTCTTTCCTTGCCACTGCCACTCACTTCACCCTCTCCCCCTCTCTCTCTCTTTCTCTCTCTGTGAGTTCAGAAAATCACAGACAACATCAAGGGGAAGGTGTGCAGCATGGCTATCTGCGCAGTGGCCTGGCTGGTGGCCCACGTCAGAATGCTGGGAAGGGACGAGAGGGAGAAGCCGCAAACTATGATCCGACAGCTGGTTACCCCGCTGTATGGAGAGAACACACTGCAGTTTTACAACGAACGGTACAAGCAACTGAGACACCACAACCTCAGAGGGGGGCAACTGATTTTTTTAGCATGTTGGCTTTTTATTGGTCAGTGAATAAAAAAACCACAGTAGTGTAAGGTATTGGTTATTATTTTTAAAAAACACTGAAGTGACATATTCTCTGAGACTTAATTCTACACCCACTAATTAGACCTGGATCAAAAGTTTTCTTAGAGGATTTTCTTATAAAGAAATACTGTACATTAAATGTAGTTTTAATATGAATTTGCTAGTATTTCATTATAATGAAAAAAAAAAAACATTTTATCTGATGAGGCTCATCTTAATCCACCATTTTTCAGCATTTAGCAAGTTACAGTGGTAGGGATACACCTCCTTTTAACAGGTAGTAGCCTTGAACAAAGCCAGATCCATGTTAGATAGCCGTCTGCTGCAACTTTGTTAGGTTTGGAAAGAGGAAGGAAAGATGGACAGGGCAAAAATGACGACAACAATAGTGTTATGCAGAGTCATGCTTATAGTACCATTTTTCATGATGAGAGTAAAAGTACTGTTTCCAAGAACCGCAACTTAATTGGCTGAAATTAATTCAGTTTGTACCATTTAAAGCCACCGAATATAATACTGAAAAGACAGACTTCCAACAAGAATTTGAGGGAATCGATTTTTCTTTTCTTATTATATTTAATTCAATCTTTTAAGGTTGGGTAGGCAGGATCTGAGAAAGCGACAGTTTTTAAGAGAAATCTTAAATGTAAACACGACCCAACCAGTTTTCTCCTCAGCTCCTCCTCTCCCCTCCATCTCTGCTCCAGCAAGCCCCGCCCACAAACAGACGCTCCTGCTCGGTTGCATCATTTTAATTAAATTCAGATATAATGCAGATAAATACCTCAAATAATTACATATGGAGCCCAGTCAACGTGAAAGTAAAACGCGTTGGTGCTACTTTAGATGCCAACAGACTACCAGCAAACACAATGTTTGCAGGACTTCTACAACTAGGATAAAGTGACATATTCCAGGACCTGAGGTAAACAGTTTAGTGGCGCTACAACATGCAGCAGGTCCCGTTTGACAAGAAACACTTCTGTTACAGACACTAAGCTTACTTTGTTAAAGCGGTTTACCCGTCCAGCAGAAAGGTTACAGGGTCCGTAAGATCCCGAAACATCACCCATCGTTTACGTTTCATTGTTGTCGACCCGGCTTCTTAGCTCTTGTCTGGTCTACCTCCTGTAATGTTGACTACACAGGCATAAGAGAACACAGCGATATTGTGATATTCCCAAATGTCATCAATAACTAATAGCTATTGACTGATATTAAGAGCTTTTTTGTACACCACAAAAAAAGATGCTTATTTAACAGAATCCTGCCTACCCAACCTTTAAGTGCTTCACTGAGAGTTACAAACAGCCAGTATGATCCTATAGGCAAACGCAGAAGCAACTAGTACATGTTTCATGCTTATACATTTAAATCTATGCAAATATTGTTCCTTGAAATACAACATATTTTTTTCTTTCTGAGAAACTTGAGTATGTCGAACAGGCCTTAGGTGTCATCATGCACATTTCTGGCACTTAAATTGAATCAGATCATAATAATGGTGGCAGAGTTTAAAAAAAAACATATTGTTGTCAAAAAAATGTGACCTGCTGTAACTGTGCGTACTTTAAACCTTACCATATGTTTAGATACAGGTCAATGTTCAGTTCAACTAGTCTCCACTAAATCACAGCAACACTAACTAAGTCTATTTTCCCATTCAGTGTCATCATCATGAGCTCCATCATGGAGCACATGTGTGCCGATGTCTTCCAACAAACAGCCGCGACTCTTCGTCCCCCAATGGAAGGCCAGGAGCCGATCCCATACCGCAACCTGCTGCCGGCCAAAGATCCCATTCATGTGGCTCTCAGCAAGCAGTTCCAGACAGTGCTGCGGAAAGGCTGGGTGGACAGCAGGGCGCTACATCTGTTCGAGAGTCTTCTCAATATGGGAGGGGTCTTCTGGTTCACTAAAAATCTGGTCAAGGTAAGAAGACCAGTAATATCTGCTGCACCTTCAGCTAAGAGAAATAAGATTCTTAGAAGAAGTAGACTCTTGTCAGAATTATACATTGAGATATTAATTATATCACTACTTCTTGTAAAAACTTTATTCTCACTCATAAAAATTGCAATTACAGCTACCGTGAGAAGTTCTGCAGGGGTTATGAAACTGGCTGATATGGGAACAGATGCTACTTTGTCATCTGCAAACGCAAACCAGGCCACAAGCAACAACTCAGCATTTCTGTCGAGTCATTTTTAGTGTCTGTAACCAGTGCAGGGGTGGAAGGTGTCAAATAAAGTAGTGAATGGCTATAGCAGCCTTAGTTTACATTCTTCACCACAAATATAGGTGGGATGTGTTTGACTTTTAAATTACGTGTGATGACCTTTTTGGTACACTTTATCGGAATCCCACTCCTCGAATGCATCATTAGCATGTTTATGAAGACTCATGAATGCATCAACGGGCTTTATAACAATCCTTATGAGTGATTTTAAGCACTCACAACATTTATAGAGTACTGTAAGCAATGATCACAATGCCTTCTAAAGATATGTTTCAAAATGCATTAAATAGCTTTTTTATAAACTATAGATGCATTTATAAGGCTTGAAAAATGTGCTAATAATGCATAACAAGACGTGGGTCTATGTAAAGTGTTAACATTTCCAAAGAGGTCACCAAAATCACTTAACAGGAGCTGAAAAAGTACTAACATTTACATTGTTTTTCGCAAAAAGTTCTTTCAAGATATCTCAAACTTTTGGTCCTATTCAGAAGCCCTGAACAGACATATGCTCAAACATTTTTATTATATCTAAAACTTAGCAAGGACCCTTTTGTAGATTAGAGGAAAACCCAGTATTTTGCAACCAAAGGCTCCCTAAACATGAAGACGTTGTCTGCGTCTTGTTTCAGGAGCTGCTTAAGGAGACTCGGCAGGAGTGGGCCAATCGGGCCGTGGAGTTACTCTACAGTATCTTCTGCCTGGACACTCAGCAGATCACACTCACCCTGCTGGGAACCATCCTTCCTGAACTGCTTACTGACTCTGCCCACTGGCAAAGCTTAGCAGATCCCCCAGGAAAGGCACTGGCTAAGTAAGAGACGCTTAATTCAAATGATTTTGAGTGTTGTTTTGTTATTTTAGGTGGTTAACTGTGCTCTCTTGACGACTCCTTAGGTTGTCTGTGTGGTGCGCGCTCAGCTCTTACTCTTCTCACCACAAAGGCTCATTCTCAGCTCGCCAGCGCAAAAGACAGAGAGAAGACATTGAGGTACAAAACAACAAAAACCACGTGCTTCATTTGCGTCATTAGGGCTGAGTTTTCATGTTGTCGAAACACTTTTGTTTCCCAGGAACTGATATGATCAGATCTGTGGAAACAATGATTTAATGCCTTATAATCTACTTGAAATGAGCCAAGTAATAATAACTCATGTATTTTTGACCACAGGACTACAACAGCCTCTTTCCTCTGGATGACACTCAGCCATCTAAACTCATGCGCCTGCTCAGTTCCAACGAGGACGAGCCTGTAGCCCTATCCAGTCCAGGTCAGTCTATTAATGTCTGGGCTTCAACGCAGGGTTTAATGATGAACCCTGTGGCCTCCCAGTCAGTCTGAGCTGAGGATTATGCAAATACCAGATGGTTTTAAAAAGCAAATACACTCCGTTCTTGTAGGCTGTTGCAGAGACAGAGGCTTACATGTGATTGTTTTTACTGTCAACAGGCTCATACTTGAGCACTGCAGTCTCATGTGAGAATTTTTTATTCCAACAGTACACGATGAAAACACAGGAAGGTGTTGATTTCTAGTCACGAAGGTATTATATCTTAGTTCAAAAACACTTATTTTGTCTCACTTTGAATCTGTCTGATTCAATCAGCATTCAGACACAACTGCCCTGAGAATTTCAGTTGATTACAGCTCACTTGTGGGTGTCAGTGACCTAAGTGTTGCATGACTTCAGGGAAAAAAGTGCCAACCTCTGTTCAGATGGAAACTAGCAAGGGTTGTCTTTCCTTCAAATTTAAATTAGCACCTCCCATTCTTCTAAGAGGAAAGTAATTTAGAAACTGGTCATCTTTATCAAAAATTTCCAGGCCCTTGAAGCTATTTTTACCCTCTGCCAAAAGTTTAATAAAGCTACCAGAAGAAAGTAAACAAGAACTTTGATTTGCTGTCAAGATAAAATAAATGGACTTATTTGTGAGTGAGAAAGCTCTGTCAAAACCAGTCATTTCATTTTCTTTGTTACAAGAGTATTTTAGGAACAGAGAGAGATTGTGAAAGAAGACAGCGGAAGGATGTCTTCAAGACTTTCAGAGTCTTGAGTCAGGACTTCATTCATTCAAACCACCACATAGACATTTGGGGGATAGTTTTAACTTCCTCATTAATGTAGCATGTTACACTTTTTTCCCTCATATGTTGAAATGAAAACAAACTTCATGTGTCATATGTGATGTCAACAGGAGATAGATCTATGAGCAGTTCTCTCTCTGCGTCCCAGCTCCACACTGTCAACATGAGGGACCCTCTCAACAGAGTCCTAGGTGAGAAAAATGAACCAACATGCATCAACTCTTTCATAAACTAGATATACTCTTTAACACTAGGCTCCATACTAGGCATCAAAGGTGACGTATTGGATGTTTCTGATCGGTATCAGTACCAGTAGAGTACACCACATACTGCTGTAATACAAATATAACTGTATGGCATTTCTACTTAAAGAACTGTAAACCGTTTTACCAGGGTTAGGGTAATATTGAGGTAATATTTAAGGGGTAATGTTTTAATTCGAGTTGTCTTGTCAAGGTAGTGAGTTCACATCAGATGGTCAAAGCTGCTCTTTACAGTATTGCAAAAGCACTTTTTAAAGGTTTTTCAGCCACCAAAGCAAACCAGATCCTCAGTATTAAGACTGATTGTTTCTATGTAGTTATTTTAAATGTCTAACACTAATGGACGCAGGTAATTTTTTCAGTCATGTGTGGCCCAGGACCTTAGTGACCGTACAAGGAATGTGAAAAGTAGAACCACCCCCTCCACAAATAGTGTTTTACTGGAAATTGACATGAAGATGAGATAGAGAATAATACTGGAAATTTTTCCAGACCTTTTGTTCTTTGAATCTGTTTGATGACCCATAGATAAAGTAGAAATATGAGTAAGACTTTGATGGTCTATGTGATGGGAAAAAAAGTCTTTGTCGTGATAATGATTAAGCAAGTACTCAAAGTGAAAATACCTTATATGATTTTGTCCTTAGCTTTCCTTCCTTCCTGCATGAATAACTTCTTTTTATTGATGCATCTTTTTAAGGTGTTTTTTTTCCTGTGATTGTTTGGGTCGCATTTTGGATTGTTGTTTACCCTGTAGGGCTGCCTTATAATGGGAAGGTGACATGTTTTTATTGGAAGTAGTGGGAGTTTTAGTCTGTACCTCATTTTGATGTTATTTGTGAGCTTGCAGAGTCCACTCTTGCACAGCTGTTGTTGCACAACTATAATCAAACTCACTTTCAGTGAGTTGTGTTGACCCAGGGAATAATTTGCCAACCTTTCAAACATGAGAATCTGTTAACATTTAACCATACCTACAAACTCACCATTACATCTCCTGCCACCTGTCCTCCTCCTCCTCCTCCCTTTCCTCTTCCTCCTCCCTTTCCTCAGCCAACCTCTTCCTCCTCATTTCCTCCATTGTGGGCTCAAAGATGGCTGGACCTCATACCCAGTTCGTACAGAGCTTTATGGAGGAGTGTGTTGAGTGCCTGGAGCAGGGGAGCCGTGGAAGCATCTTGCAGTTCATGCCCTTTACGATGGTGAGTCACGAGCTGGGAGGGGAGGGGAGGCCAGACAGGTGAAGATAAGGAGGGAGAGAATGAGCTGTTGCATCAGACATTATCGGGATGTGCTAGTCCAGCTGGAAAAGTTTTAAATCTGAGGGAGACAGTCCAAGGGTCAAGGGTTTTGTGGTTGTAAAAAGTCATTTTACAACGGTGAGACTGTTCAGTACTTGACAGAAAACACGTGTTCTTCTGTTGAAGTCACTCAAAGTTTAAAATGACATAAAACCTTTAACTTTACTCTTAAATAGTGATGATAAAATGGAAAACACAGATTGAGGAGTAAAATCTGCATCTGTTTTAGTAGCAGAGAATGAGTTGACAAATAGTCCAAACTTGCCCCCTCAATCAATGTGACAAGATTACATCAAGCTTTAAGGAGCATGAAACCTCCAACTATTCAACAGCACACACACTCTACATCTGAAAAATAATCCTTATCTGTCTTTTCCTACATTCAGGTTTCAGAGCTGGTGAAGCTGCCTGCTCTAGCCAGACCCAAAGTGGTCCTGGCCATCACTGACCTGTCCCTGCCGCTGGGGAGGAGAGTTGCTGCCAAAGCCATCTCCGCTTTATAACTGTGGGTTTAATATTACTCCCTTTTGGCCCAGTTTTGACAGAACAGAATTTGAAGGAAACACTTTGTATTTTTTCTTACAGTGCTAGTACCCCTGAAAGTGGCTGAACTATGTAAAGAATGGAGACGTCAATCCTGTATTGGATATGTCTTTAATCATGTCCCTGTAAACACTGTTTAACTGTTTTTTATGTTCTTTTTCACACTTAAAATAAATGTGTAAATACTTTTTAAAGAAAAGAAATAAACTGCCACCTTTTCATTCTAATCAATGTGAGCTCCCTGTATTTCTTGTTAAGTATTGAGTTCTAGTTACATCAGTCTGTAAATTTAGAAACACATGAGTCTTGCATACCTCAATGACAAACTATGACTCAGCTGAATGATCACATGTTAGCAACCACATGACTCTAAATTTGAGAGACTATGGACCGTTCCCCAAATGACCAAAGCTTGTGGTCATCTGACTTGTCATTCATCACTTGACACACTTCCTGTGAAAAGTAACGGCCAATAAAGCCCATTTTCACTTTTTGTTGCATTTCTGTAGCAATTCTAACTTTACTGGAATTTCTTTTAGTTATAACTACAAACTGCATTTGCTAGCATCACCCAGTGCGTGACAGTTTGTTTTGACAGTGACAACAGAAACAATTACTTTCTCAGCCAAGTTTTTATTGGAAGAGCAGAAAATACATACAGGTATGGGGGTATTTTAAATAAGATTCATACAAAAATAATAAACTGCATTCAACAGAATGTATAATTAGTCCTTGATGTAAATCTAGTAAACTAACATGGGTTTTGTGAGATAACTTGGTTGTCTGCTTGATTTAAACGGAAAAAGATAAGCCATCATTAACTTGCACTTCTCATGTATTGGTAAATGATTTCAAGGCAATTAATACAATTCTAGTGTTTGTACAGCATTAGCAATATAAATAGACCTATATTAAAACAGTAGTAAACAAAAATAGCGAACTCAAGTGTATAAAAATATTATATAAAATAAATAATACAATAAATAAATATAAATATTAAGAAATAAATAGCAATTTAACAGACGGACAAATGTCAGTAAAAAATGGCGGGTTAAGTTACATTTTGGATGAGCAAAAAGCATTCAGAGTGTGACATCTATCATCCATGGGTCAACTCTCTGTCTCCTCCTCGCCGCTCTGGTCCAGACATCTGAGGAGGCGGACAACATCATGCCCGAAGGACTGAAGCTGAACCAGGGTCAGATGTGCTGCCACCTGAGCCTCGAACTTCCCCGCTAGACGCAAGGCCACAGGGGTAGGTGTGGGCTGCACCACAGTCTCACCTTTGACCTGATACAGCATCTGTAAGGCACACCATCAAAAAGGTGAATCAAACAACAAATTATAAATGAGTACAGACACAAGATTAAACACAAGATTAAAAGGTGTGTTACCTTGTTGATCTGAATGACAAGGTCCTTAATATCAGCCTGCAGTTCTGCCACTTTGTCTATGTTTTCCAGGCTAGGGGAGACTGAGGTTAGTAGGGCCCGGTGCAGCTGAAGACCCTCGGACATGCGCTCCAAACCAGTCTCCTAAAAGGAACAAACACCAGCAGAAAGCTCATGTTGTCTGCTTTTAAATTCTTACTTTGTTTACAGAATAATGCCTTTTGTAGATGCTTACCAAAGTGAAGGTTTCCGACAGATTTTTGAGGACAGGAGCAGGGGGGATGCCTATGTTAGATGCCATTACTCCAAGTTTTTCGTTCTCTGAGGAATTTAGTTTCAGCGTCTGTGGGAGAGGTAAACAGAGATGTTATCTTGATTGCCCCTTGGCATGCAACAAGAAGCACATATTTATCCCCCTCAATGGCTTATTTCTAAGAAAGAAAAAGCAGGAAACACAGACCCTGTTACTTAAAAGAAACGTTATACTGCAACAAAAGACACTTGAATCTATTTTTCATTTCATGCCTTTAATAATACAATTGAAGTACTTCTTTCTATGTAGCATGTTGGTTGAATATACTCAAATCATTGTCACAAAGGAGTTGCCTTGTTGGCAGCAAATATGTTAAGTTCAAGCTTAATTTTTTAACAGCCTGCTGGGTAATGTGTAATATATGAAGATATGAAGATAAAATATTCAAGGTTCCACATAAAGAATGTAAAATACTTATATTTTATAATTTTTTCATTCAATTTACTGTATTTTTAAAGGTTCCTTAACAGAGGCATTTGATGTTATCTCCCAGGGCTAGCTTAATGCTAATTTAGTCAGCAGGTTTTCAAACTACATTTCTTTAAATATCCAAACATAAATGCCACAAAATAATACATATATATATTTCATTCAATTTACTGTATTTTTAAAGGTTCCTTAACAGAGGCATTTGATGTTATCTCCCAGGGCTAGCTAAATGCTAATTTAGTCAGCAGGTTTTAAACTACATTTTTTTTAATATCCAAACATAAATACCTCAAATTAATATGTAATTTTTTAAATTCAATTTACTGTATTTTTAAAGGTACCTTAATGGAGGCATTTCATGTTTTCTCTCAGAGCTAGCTTAATGCTAATTTAGTTAGCAGGTTTTAAACTACGTTTCTTTAAATATCCAAACATAAATACCTCAAATTAATAGTTGAGTTAAAAATTAAACATAATTCACAACAAACGTGTTTCGTACATCAGTTCACCAACTCCCTGGCATTTAACACAGAAAATAAACTGTAATAACACAAGTCATGCAAATAGTCTAATTGATAAGCATGTTTCATTACGTGTTTTATTAATATGAGGCTTTCTGATCTGATTTGATTTTACGTGCTGTGGTAGCTGCACTGCCCGTATTTTACGCTCAGTCATAACTCTTAAAGCAGCCTCTCAGGGAAGCTCTGGCCACCAGGCTCAGTCACGCTTAAGTCTTTTTATGGTCTCATAACCGGACCTGCATTCACTGATCATCTCACAGCGCAGACCTCTCTCTCTCTCTCTCTGCCTGAAGCCTGGACAATCTCAGCCAAACAATGCGTCAAACATGCGCCAGCAGGAGCAATCTTTACTCTGCCTCACCTCGATGTAAATGCAGGACTTGTGTGCGTCCGGAATGGAGAGCAGGATCTTTTTGATCAGGCTGCGGCTCCTCTGCACGATCTCTGGATCCGCAACAAGTGTGCTCCCGTCCGGCAGAGGTGCGCTGCGGGCGACGGAGGCCATGTAGACGGGAATAAGGAAAACTGCAGGCGGAGAGAAAAATCACAGCGTCACCGCCGAGGCATCAAAACAATCCTCTCTTTACATCCAGCAGCACGAAACGTGTGTGTGCGCGCGTGAGTGAGTGTGTGTGAGGCAGGCAGAACAAAGCCTTGCTCTCTCCTCATCAGCTCCTCAGTGTTGCTGCAGCACTGGGCATGTCTCCCCTCAGGCTGAGGAGCAGCATGAGTTCCGAGTTGTGACTGTAATGTGAAACCTGGGTCAAAAGTAACTAAAAATAGCAGATAAGACCGTTTGAGTAAATCTAAATTTAGAAAAAAAAAGCATACTATTTTTACCCATGAACGGATCCAAATTCTTATAAATTAAGTTTTTAATCAAATCATTTCACTCAAATAGTTAAGTCCAAACACTGAATATGCTCATGTCCCCTTCAGTGTCAGAGGAGAAGTGAAAGCAGAACATATCAAGCGTTACCTCACTACTACTCACCAATCAGGATGTTCATGACTTCTGATGAGGAATGTCTTTCAAGTATTGACCTAAAGTGAGAACTCTCCATGATTTAAAGTACTCTTATGGTCCATATATATAGCAGGCCCTTGTTGTGGGGTTTCCCGTCATTGATTCATCTGAATAAGTCTCAATTTAACTGACACCACAATTTCCACCAAATTTACACGTGAACACAGAGCATCCCCTTTTTCCTATGTAGACGCCTAGATATCAGATGTGTGTTATAAAGTGTTAAGATAAAAAGAAATGAGACATATTATTGTATTATATCTGAACATTTCCATCCTTTGTTTTAAGTTTATTCTTTAAAGACAAAAAAATAAACTTTATTTTGAATCATCTTCCAACTTAATCCACCTAAAATGATCTAACATAACATTAAACTTGTTAAAATGGACACAAAAGTGTATTTATGAATCAGCAAAATCCAAATCAGAATGGATCAATCTGGAGGAAAAAAATCCAGACAAATATAACAGAAATAAAAGTTGACTGTAGCTTTTTTTTTCTCTCTCTCTATCATACGGATAGGTTTTCCTTGAGATCACTTTCTTATCAACATAGTACAATTAAAAGGTTTCGATGTTGAAAATGGAATTCATTCAGTACTGACTCTCCAGTTTGACGTAACAGCATTTGTAGGGTGACTTGTGACACAAAAATGTGTCAAATTTCTGGAAAGACAGAATGGGAATTGATGTTTTCTCTGAACTAACAGCAGGAAGAGGAAATGGAAACTGAAGGTGATTAAATGGTTGAAATCACCATGTTTTCTGTAATTTGTGATTTTTGGTGGAACTTTTTTTTTTCTGAGGTCATTCTTCATTTTTGTCTGGTTTTTACTTTTCTGTGGACGATTTTTGTAACTTTTACTTGATTTAATATCTTGAACTTATCTGTTTAAGACACACACACTTGTAATACATGGTGGAATGAGAGTGTAACTGACTAAAAAGCTCAAAAAACTGTACTTGTCAGGTTGAAAAGAAACATGTAAAAACATGTTCAAATTATTGGGCAATCATCGGTCTTTCGATACATCAGTGCCATCTGGTGGAATAAGGTGTTTTAAAAATGTAAAATGCTTACATTTCACTGATTTGTATGTCAGAGTTCAAAGTACAGTGAGTAAACTGAAGTATAGTTTTAAAAAGATTGGCCCAACACATATTCATTCAAATCGAAAGGATGGTCAGATGATCCACAGTTTAAAGATATAAGCTAAATCCATAAAAAACACTGAGGTTTACTTTTTCCATTGTCATGTTCAAAAACTGATATGATCGGATCGCCAAGTATTGGAACTTATCTTAGCTTTGCAGGAAGTTGGGGAAAAAGCCAAAATACTTGCTCAAGTGCATGTAAAGATTACAAAAACTTTAAGACTCCTACTCCAAAGAGTCACTGCACTAAGAAAAGAGATAAACCCATGACCCCTATAAAAGCTACAACTTTTCATTACTACACTTCAGCTGTTAAACAGACTACATTAAAATGACTTAAGGAGTGCTTTCAGGTCACTCTTTCTATGACTGAGCTATTTTCTGTCTTTCTGCTTCAACATGCCAAACTGGATACTACATGAGGGTGGCATCAATTTTTTGCCTAATTTTTTGCATGAGCAAGTTAGCTGTGCATTTTTCAAACCAGATTTTATTGAAGTGCTTAAATTATCCATAAAACCCTTGAATTTTTACTGTTTCCTCTCGACATAATGCTAACGGTAAGATTTAAAAAGAACGCTTTGGTTAGAGGAAAAAACTGACCATTTGGGGGAAATTCTGATATTTTTAGTTTTGTATAACATCCTTGTAAAGCCACAAGGAAATTCTTTTAGTTTCATTTTTGATAGATAAATAAAATCGATGGAATACATTAATAAATTAGCTTATTGTGCTTTGTGCTGGATAGTCAAGTTAGTCAGTGTCCCCAAATTCACACATGCTATTCATGCTAAGCAAAATGACCTACAGTATCTCCTAACAGTCGATAAGATGGTGTGCCAAAACACTTTTTAGATTTGCACAGAAACAGGACAACTCTTACCGCAATTTCCTCCTTGAATGCTAAGAAAAGCTAACCAACATCAGGTTTTATTTCAGGGCCTGTGTCCACTAAGAGTGTTTTTTTCTCCTTGTTCTTCTTTTTCTATTTTTTGCTGCACTGGCAGAGCCCTAAACCTCAATTTTATAGCACTTCTCACCAGCACTGACTGTTGCTAGGTTATGAAAATTGTGGCACAATATGATTGACATTTTGTTTTTGTTTTTCAGCAGCCTTTATTAGGAAAATGTCACAACACTTAAAACAAATCGTGTTAAACAGTTCAAGCAGACCTGGAAATTGTACTCTCAAAAAAGTGTAGCTGGTTTCTGGTCCGTACAAACTATTGAAGCCACTAGTTTTGACTAGGGTAATTACAGGAGGTCCACCCTTTTCTGATATTGATTGGTGCAGCAGTGTTCCAATAGTTGAGCCATTTTCAGCTAAGAGGCCTTAGAGAATAACAAATGCAACTGATGGCAAAGAGTGTTTTGCACTTGCACATGGGAAAAAGGGGCCCCCAGTAGACAAAGCAGTTCCTCTTATCTACTTTCTCTCATCTATCTTTGTCCTGTACATGTATATATAGGCCTACGATGTAAGTAGTGTTTATCAGAAAATTCCATCCTGTTTTCCTTGAAAGTCATATCTATGATTCTTTGATGTCTGTTGATAACTGTAAAAAAAGGCCTGTTCCCTGATCCTATGCTTTCAATCATCATCTGATGCCGCCTACCATCAGTTTTAGACAAAACAACTATTCAGAATGATTCATTTTCATCCTGGCAAAGGCTTGCATTTTCAGCTTTCATTGGGTCATCAATAAAAATTACAGGCCTTTTCATAGCCTGGTAGAGACTGGTGCCCGTCCTGTCAACACGGCCCTAAATTAGTGGAAATTTTCTCAATGTGGCAAACCATCTAACCTACCTTAAGATGTCGATTAAATCTTCATTAAAGACTGTAATCTCCAGGCATAATATAAGTGCAGTAAGAATTTTTAATCACCTCATAGGTCGCTCCTGTGCCTCCACTGAAGCTGATCAGTTTGTTTTATGCTCTGACACAAGTACCCCTTGATCAGTCGGTGAAGCTATCATACATGTGGCCAAGCTTGATAGTCTGTGAAGTGAAGCCGTCAAATCTGATCCCTGAAATCCACACTGGTCTGATCTCCAATCAATCCTGCACATGAAAGGAGGGCATTATTCACTGCTGAGGCCTCATTCTCTCTATGACCCAGTTGGAAACACTGTTTGATTGTAGAGGTGGAACAATACGCAAGCTTGCCTTTGGCTGGGAAGGAAAGATTGCACAAGCATGTTCCTGCCTTTTAAACCTTGAACATGGGTCCCATGATAATTCATTCAACAGATATCCTGTGTGTGCATGTCACAATGCATTACAACAAGTGAAAAACATTTTGGTGCATGATTTGATATGTTTGTTGTAAGGAGAGGACTTCCAATATTTAAATATTGTTCTGCAAAAGACAAAATTGGCTCGAAGTTTTGGCTCTGCTTTTAATGGCTCTAGGTATTACAAAATGTAAGTGAGAAGAGGTCAAGATGTGTTAAAGATGGCAGACCAAGAGAGTATAAACAAAGTAAAAGTAACTCCAAGTTCAGCTCTGACTCCTTAAATCTCTCTCTTTTTGGGTTGCACTGAGCTTCTTAATTTACCCATCAAAGGACTTGGCCGTAGAGCTCAAAAGGTGCAATAAAATTTCTGAGTATTGATCAAAAGGAGAGCTTTGAGTGTTTCTATTTCACTAAAAGTATCAAGTGTTTTTTTTTTTGGCTTTTGAAAGTATTTTTTGTTCAACTTAAAGGATCTCAGCAGGTAAGTGAAAGCCAAGAACATTTCTGTACTAAAAGCTTCCCTTGCCTGAGGGCACTAGGATTAAACCATCTTTTTTATGAGCACTGCTGTCAATGCAAAAGTTCAACTCTGTGAGTGAATACTTTTGCCCTCTAGAGCAGAAGTGCAATATTTGTTTCCACACGAAAATCGAGACACTGTACATTCTTTTTTCACATAAGTAAATATCAGACTCATACATGTTTAGAAACATTTGAACAGAAACTTTGAAATAACATATACTGATGTGAGGGTATCTGGGTTAGCTTGCATTTTAAAACAGGTTTTCGTTTCCTGTCAGGGACTAGAGCTGTTCTCCTTAGCTAGAAATGATAAAACCAAAAAAAATGCAATCCATTATTTGGACAGGATGTAACCTGGAACACAAGGATATGTGTTGAAACCATAAAGTGAGATTAAGATCGAGGAGGTAGAGACAGGAATGATTGTTGCTTGGACTTTTCAGGGGAGAATTTCACTGAAAACAGGATGATGAAATGACTCAAAATTCTATGGAAGTCCATTTCAAGAGTGAATGGAAGACACTTTCATCAGCTTTCGTCTGCTTTCATCAACTGAGCATGAGAAATCTCTCATGTTCTCTCTTTCTAACCTTGACACTGTGCTTTTTGCTGGAAAAAGCTTCTAGGAAATTGTGTAAAAAGGTCTTTCTTTATTTTGTACATTTCAAGGTTGCTTTATAATATTCAAAAAAGAGCATCAGTCATTTTTCTACATCCAGATCCACAACCCTGACCTGCAATAAACCTAATCAAAATTGGGATAGGTAGATGTACTGACCATTACAAATCCACATAGGGGAGAGTTGAGCCAAAGGGTAAGTTGAGCCACCCCCTGTTGCTTTGAAATGGTAAAAAAAAAAATTGATCATGAAGTCTGTGAAGATTAGAAAAACATTTTTTACTCTTGAAAGTAAATTGAGTCTGTCATAAGTTTTATGAGAATTGTGTTCAGACCAAAAAAGATCATTTTAAATTTGTTTTATACATCATTTGTGGTATCTATGAGCTATAGCATGATGTCAAAAACTTAGCATAAAAGTCCACCATTTTAGCATAGAGGACTAATAAAGTCATAATAGTAGTTCTGGGGTAAGTTGAGCTAGTAGCTTAACTGAGAAAGTAAAGGAGTCTGATGAGAGGATCAGAGTTTCAGTTCAGATTGTTGAAATGTGTTACTTTTTCTTTT